AAACCTGCCACAGGCTCTCGCAACTATCCCCGACCTACACCATAATCTATACGCGGACGACATAACCATTTGGAGCAACACAGGCTCACCGGCGGAACAGGAACAAACCATACAGGCAGGCCTCAATATCATACACCAATACGTTCAGACTATAGGCCTCACCTGCTCACCCGACAAATCCGAATATGTCGTCGTTACCAATGGCACAGGCGAGAAAGCTGAAACATATAGAGACCTCATACACCTCCACATAGATGGCAAACCCATTCCACGAAAGCACACTATTAAAGTTCTCGGCTTCCATCTCCAACAGAATGGGAAAGCCGATGTGTGGATAGGACACATCATACGCCAAATTAACCAGATACACAACATGCTTAGACGCGCTACGAGACGCAGTCGAGGCCTCAAGGAGCATGAGCTCCGCAAGACCATCGAGGCGCTCGTCTACACACGAGTCATGTATCACCTCCCATATGCTACACTAACTCGAACCCAAACAAAAAAGCTAGAAACCGCACTCCGGAAATGCACGCGACTGGCTCTAGGAGTCCCCCGATTTGCGCCTGTGCATCTGATCACAGACACTGGCCTTTTTAACTCGCTAGATGATCGCATCACTATACACGAACATGCACAGCACCAGCGATTGATAACATCACAACAGGGGCGCCAGATCCTCGCCCATCAACAATACGACACATCCAAACTTCCGCCCCTCCCACCCCCGACCCCACCCTGGGACTCGCTCCCACGCATAACTGTTCTCCCCATTCCACAGAACATGTCTCCTGACAACCACCAACCCCGCCGCGAAGCTCATGCCCGCCGGGTACTCTCACGCACCCCTTCAGACACAGACGTTTACTACACAGACGCGAGCCACACACGTACCAGGAGCAGAACGGCAGTGATTGGACCCCGATCATGTTCATCCCGTGAACACGAAGGAGTCCCTTCCTCGACGGCCGCAGAAATACTCGCCATCGCCGAAGCCATCACAGAACATACCCACTCAACCGATACAATTCTTATCCCCACAGACAACCAGGGAGCGTGCCGCTGCTTTCGAGACAATGACTTACCTTTCCACATACACCCCATACTACAACGACACCTTCACGCCCACCCGCACCTACACATCAATATAGAATGGGTACCGCGTCATCAGGGACTGGGAGGAAATCTACGAGCGCACACACTCTCCCGAGAGAATTCTAATCCGGGACCTCCCACCCTCTGGCCCGAACCCTATGACCCCAAAGAACACCGGAAACAAATGCACAAGGAACGTACAGCCTTGCTGCTCAAACTCAGACAACACACCACCACTTTACACACTCCCTCATTCATATTTAGCCGGTCTGACTCTACCCTTATTAGACGTGCACAAACACAGACTCTCATGACGTTACACTACACTCACTTCATCCAAGGACGTCCTGGCCGACCAGTCTGCCCACATTGTACCGGCTATCCATCTAACATACACTACGGAAATTAAAAACAGCGCGGAAAGACGAGGACCAGACAAAGAAGTGACACGGACGTCCGTATCACTTCTTTGTCTGGTCCTCGTCTTTCCGCGCTGTTTTTAATTTCCGAAGTATGTACCAACTCGCCCAAGTCTCAACTTTAGTAACATACACTACTTGTGGGACTGCCCTAATGCCCACACATCGCGTAACCTACTTCTCTCACCCCTCCCTTCCCACCACCTCCCTCAGACCTGGACAGAGTGGGCCAACCCACCCAAGATACTCGAGGCTACACTATGGCCCCTCCTCGTCCGACATGTCAAAACCATGCTTGGTAATGAATGGTGAAAAAAAAAAAAAAAAAAAGGGGAGCTCCGGACTTGGAGCGAAAATAAAGGTTTTCTCTCTCTCTCTCTCACTCAAAATACACTCAAACTACACTCAAACTGAAGGGCCCCTCCACTTCCTCGAGGAAGGCGCGAGGGCCGGCGCTGGCCAATCGCGACGGCGGATCCGTCCTCGCGATTGGCCAGCGCCGGCCCTCACGCCTTCCTCGAGGAGGTGGAGGGGCCCTTCAGTTTGAGTGTAGTTTGAGTCAGGTTCCTGGGAATTCGGCGGTTAGTCTGTCTCAGTGGGCGTCAGGTGTCTCAGCTGTAGATGGGCAATTTAGCCAGTGCAGTACAACGGCTATCTTTAACGTGCGTCACGCAATAGGGAGTATTCACTGGCGGCCATATCCGTGTGCGCTGCTGCTGAGCGCGTGCTGACGGCGAGCTTCCTCAGTCCTTTTGGAGCGCGCATTTAGCACCATCAAGGTTGCCGGTCGTAGCAGGCTATTAATGTGAGCTCGTTCTGAGCATGCGCTCTAAATATCGCCCTCAAATATGGCGTCCAGTGAATGCCTCCTATAAGGATACACGACCGCACGCCGGTACGATGCTCATCTAGATCGAAACGGGCAGGGGTGGGGCTCGAGCCCATAACCCTTGGTTCGGCATGTAATTGACCCCAAAGGAACGTAAGTCGGTGTGAATGCCGCCGGATCACGTTGGTCTCTATTTCTCAATCACACATTCTGTTTCTTTCTATGAGCATCTGCGGACGACAAAACACATGAAACAGAGAGAGAGAGACTAAACATTTTTATTTAGCTCTTTTAGTGCAGGACGTCGGTCTGAGACGTGTGGAGGAGGAATGGGTCACCCTTATTAGGCAGTGATGTTCCAATCCATCTCCATTATTTTTAAGACAGAATGTGGATGAAGACAGAGGTTGGCATTAAAGGGGCCATGAAAGGAATTTTGGGTTGGGATGAATGATTTTAAATTGGGACTTTACTAATCGCATATCGTTGGGTTGGCCAAAAGAAAGAGGCTAGAAAGTCAAAAGCCAGCTTTTCGGTACGAACATTTCAAAATATAGCGGACTATTTTGTACCTTCTTGCCTTCGAAACCTCTTCGACTTTTCGATACATCCGCGGTTCCAAAAGCGCGTCACCAGCGACAAACTGACGTCAGCAGAGCCCAGCTCACGCATAGGACACGAGAACTGCGTCACTCGGACGTATGCGCTCGTCAACATTCAATCCGTCGACGAATATTTGGATACGCGTTCGTGGCCAATGAGTGCCCTGACGGAACTTATTGTCACTGGGGAATGATAAGTTCTATGGTGTGCATAAAAAGCACGGTGGAAGCTAGGAGTCATCGCACCGGTGCCGAAGGAATGTCACGACCACGTGATTTCACAATTCGCATTTCAGTTGAGGATTAAAGCTAAGAAGGAAGAAGTAGAAAAATTGTTTCATGGGACCCCTTTAAAGGGGCCATGAAATGATTTTTCAACTTTTTCCTTCTTAGCTTCTCACCTCAGCTCGAAAGCGAAATGAGAAATCACGCGGTCCTCGCGTGCTTCGGCACCGGTACGATGACTCAAAGCACGTGCTCAAAGCTTCCACCGTCCTTTCGAAGCACACCATGGAACTCGCCATTCGCGACCGATAATAAGTTCCGTCGGGGTACTTGTTTCCCACGAACGCTAATCTAAATATTCGTCGATAGATTGATGCGTGAGCTGGGTTCGGCTGACGTGCTTCGGGTACCGCCAATGTATCTTACTGAAATGGCGAAAAGCTTTCGAACGGAAGGAGCTACGAAATAGTCAGCCATATTGTCGAACTTTCCTACCCAGAAAACAGGCTTTTGACTTTCTACCTTCTTTCCCTTGGCTTACCAAGCGGTAGGCGATTCGCAAGATTCGAAATCTAAAATTATTTATCCCAGCCGAAGATTAATTTCATGGTCCCTTTGGGGTGATGAGTTTTTTTCTTTTTTTTTTCTTTCAGAAACTGCGATCTTGATTTGGGGCTTCTTTTTTTTCCCCCTTATTTTTGTTGCTCCTAAGATGAAACTCTTCTCTTTCACTCTATTCTTGTGAGCTTTTCGTCTCCCATTAAATTTAACCACAGCAGCAAAAGAACTCCGTCCCGGTGGTCGTCGTCGTTGTGTCTTTGCTATATTACCGGCTAAACGCGCTCGATTAACTCATCGGATGTAGCGTCGACTACGGTCGGACGGGATGTGAAACCAACTGTAATTAAGTGTCTAGACGGAGTCATAAGTCTAGAAGGGAGAGTCGTAAAAAGAGTCGGCAAAACTTCGTACTTCTCTAAAGTCGACCGCAGCAAAGGCTAGCAGCGCTGCAACTGTACCCGCTGGAAACGAACCGCCGAACGTCCTGAGTTCCTCTACTCCGAAGCTCTTACCTATCCATCTGGGAAGGAGCGCCAACTTCCAGCCAGTTTAAAGCTCGCGCGGTTATGACCAGGTACGAGCAGAGGGTTTTGGTCAGGAAAGGTACACTCACTCTGGCGACGCTAGAGCGTCAAATTCGCCGTGCCGTTCGGTTAAAATAGAAATCTCGTTGACCTCGTCAAAGTGTGCATTAAAAACAGAATACCTGTCGTTCTCGCTTCTTGTGTTCCGAACTCCCAAGGTGCTTTAAATGTATGCGAAGCGCCCGAATATGCATCGGAACAGCACCGAAATTCTTCGCCCCGCGCGGTGTATGCTCGCGATGTCTCCTTGGCTTTTCCCGAAGCGAGCGTCACGCGCCGATTACAGCCGATTAAAGGGCTGTTTATACTCCAACGTAACGTCGACGAGCGCGCGCGCCCAACCGCGTTGCCTGACGTTGCTACGAAAGGACAGTTTATACTCTGACGACAGGTGGAACGCCTCGCAACGTAACGTGCCCCGGCGCGCGCCAGCGAAGCTCACGTCGAGGTGGGCTGTTTATACTCCAACGTAACGTCGACGGGCGCGCGCTCCCGAGCGCGTTGCGTGACGTAGCTGCGAAAGGAGAGTTTATACTCCGAACACAAGTGGACCGCCTCGCAACGTAACGCGCCTCGGCGCGCGCCGGCGAAGCTCACGTCGAGGTAGGCGCTGCTCGAATCTCGGCGTCGGCCGACGACGGTCGGCACCCAGAATTCCTCGCGCGAGCGTCAGTTGGAAAGAAAAATGGCGAACGGAGGTGCCGCGGAGTGCGACCCAAGCGATCTGACGACGGACGAGGTTGAGCGGCTCATTGAAGCGGTGAGAGAGCGCCAGTGTCTTTATGACGTCGGTTCTCTAGAGTACAGGGATTCCAAGCGAAAAAAGAATGCCTGGGAGTCCGTGCGCATTGCCTGCGGCATGAAGTCCGGTAAGTTGACTAGGGTGATTTCATGTGCGCTTTGCTTGGCGTAACGACATCTGGCCATTTTGTTTCGAACGCTTTTTTTGTGTGTGTGTGTGTGTTTGTTGAAGCGCGTGAAAGAGCGTGTCCCTGCACGCGCGCGTGGCGCTGACTGTGCTACGGCCACGGTGTAGCTACGGCGGCATTTTGCTTCCTGCGATTTCTTTGTACTTTCCCTGTGAGCGCGTGCTGTTGCCATCGGGTGCTACAAATGATGGCATCATCCAAACAGAAAGACATTGAGGCGCTCTAGTTATTTAGGACTTCAAACAGAAAAGCAGTGCAAGCGGCTTAACTGACATGGCAACTTATTCAGCATTTTATTTTTGTATCACGTCTGCATTTAGGAGAACTGAATTCGACATATTTATTTCAGGTGAGGACGCACAAAAAGCGTGGAAGCGTGTACGCGACAGGTATGTTCGGGAGGTCCGCGCCATTGAAGCTGCCACAAGGAGTGGCAGTGGCTTCGTCCGGAAAAAAACAATGGGCCTTCCTGGAAATGATGTCGTTTTACGAGAAACATATCCGACCCAGGAAGTATGTAAACAAAACACGAGTCCTCATTTGCTGTCTAACTAAATTTCTCTCCCATATGTTAATCCCACTTGCAGGGCAACCACCAACGTAAAGGCACCACCTGTGGGCGACACAGCACAGTGTCTATTAATGGAAATGGTGGAATCTTCTCCTGACGACTCGACCATGCCCACTGACTTCGAGCCTGCCCAAGAAGAGCTGCAGTGCAGCCCCGAGGCTCCTGTCCCAGCCACGCCGTCCACCTCGGGTGAATCAACATCAAGCACCTCGAGGAGGTCATCAGGCCAGTCACAAAAGTGCCCAGGACCCCCCCCCCCCCCCCCCCCCCCCCCCCCCCCATTCTGCACGCAGAAGGGAGGCTGACACAATGGAGAGAGAACTTTTAAATCATTTAAGGACTAAAATGACACAGAACGAGGCGTTTGCCTACTCTGTAGCACAATCTCTAGATCGTTGGGACGAGGTCACCAGTGCCCAATTCAGGGCTTGTGTAATGCAGATTGTGTATGAGTATGAATGTAAATTTCAGCAGAAATAAAACGCCCCCGACCTTTGTGCATCTGAAGGCACACGTGTCCACTCATGTTTTGATAATATACACATTCTGTTAATATGAACTACATTTTCGAAGAGCAATCTCTTCTCATGCAATGCTACTACATCGTTAGAAAACAAAACAAAAAACATAATCTGTGAAGCAGTCTATGTTAATCTGAATATTATTAACTCTGTAGTGCAATACTTCAGAATTAGTTCTTGGAGGCAAGCTGCAGGGATGCCTATCACATAAAATAGCTTGAAAGAACACCTACACACATTTTGCAAATTTACCCCAAGCGTCAAGGAAGTGGCTTGGAATGTAGGTACACACGAGTGTGGACGATAGCTTGCGCAGCGAGTGTACCTGCAAACCCGGCATGATCTTTGGTGCTTGTGTAAATTAGAAAAAATGTCTAGTGCACATAATAGCATCATCCGCTACTCAGACACACAGCCTGCGCTAATACCGTTAATCAAACATGCTTTCTACCCATTACATTCGCTTCGTGGGTGGCACGCATTGCTCGAAACCTGTTTATATTTCCGAGAGAAATCCAAGTAGAAAAGCAGGCTTATCGAAAGTACATCTAGAATGTTATTTTACTTCTTTGTGGTGTAAATGAAAAGATTAAACCCGACTTTTGTAATTAATACGCAAGCTGTCCTATTTTCCAAGTGAGTCACTACTACATTCCTGCGGGTTCACTTAATAAGAAGCCAATCATTTGGTATGCGTGCCTGTATCTCAGTAGCAGGCGAAAAACATGGATGGCCAATATTCCTCGCTTGTGCAATTACCTCGCTCTCCCCTGTACAACAAAATTCACCAAGGTAGGCAGGTAAGCTCTTTGAAGGTGAAAACAACGAGGGATTGCGAAATATATTTTGCCGGTCAATCCTGTTAAGCAAGCAGAGCAGAGAAAATATATACAATTTATTTGCAAGGAAAGAAAAATTTGAACAGCATTGATAACAACCTCGTGTCGTCGTCTACTCCCTCGTCACTATGTCGTGTTGCCACGGGATGGCTCCCCTAGGGGAGATGAAGTGGTCTGCCAGCTGGTCCCTGATGCTGATTGCTGCTGGGCTGCTGTTGCCACCTACACTCTCAGAAAAAAAGGTGTATTATTACACCCCTTGTCACATATAATACACCCCAAAACTTCATTTCGACGTACAGCGCACTATAGTCGAACAGACGGCACAAATTTTACAAGGGCTTGATAACGGTGCGATATAACTTATTAAATTGCTAAAGTACGTATCAAAGACCAAAGAAAGAAAACACTGAGTTTTTACAGTAGGGCCAAGGAAACCCCGATTATTCTTGTTGTGTTCAGTAAAACGTACATTAGCTATTCTAATAAGTTGTACCACACGGCTATCAAGCTTCTCGTAAACTTTGGAGCCGCCTGTTCGATTGGGGGGCGCTGTACGTCGAATTGAAGTTTTGGGGTGTATTATATGGGACAAGGGGTGTAATAATACACCTTTTTTTTCTGAGAGTGTAGGCTCCTGTTGACACCAACATTCAAAATGTCAGCTCGCCACTGACCATCCACACGGGCACCCCTCCTTTCACTGTCAGCATATTCAGGAGGGTAGTAGGCTTCATATTCATCCTGTGTCAGGAAGTTGTGGAAACAGACTTCCGCTTTTATCATGTTTTCACAGTGCTCAACAGTGCCATGCATGGGAGCCAGAAACACCCCCCAGCGAGACACAAGTATTCCGAAGGCGTTTTCTACTGTACGCCTGCCCCGGGAGAGCCTGTAGTTGAAGACCTTTTTTCGGTAGTCCACGCCTCTTCCGGGGAAAGGGCGCATGAGCTACGTTTTTAACGGGAAGGCTTCATCCCCCAGGAGGCACAGAGGTGGTGCAGGCTGTGCGATTACAGGGATCTGGAGGGTGTCGGCAGCTAACGCCTTTCCGAGGCTAGGCTCTCTCAACACACCGCCATCGGACTGGTGTCCGGCAGCCCCAATGTCCACCAGTCGAAACCTGTAGTGGGCGTCAACAACAGCGAGGAGCACCATCGAGTAGAATTTCTTGTAGTTGTGAAATAATAGAGAGTTTTAGTAGATCGTTTTCAAAGGCCCGCTACCGCTACGAGCGCGCGCTTCAGAGCATGCATCGAAGTGGGAGCGCGAGCTCCCGCTACGATTAGCGTGGCCCGAAAACACGATCTACTAAAACTCTCTATTGAGCCAGAGTTTGGTGGGCACCTGATCGAAAAGCGCTTGCCATCTTTCGATCCAATGGCGTTAGGAAAGTTCCACTTGACGCAGAACTCCCTCCGGATCTCTTCCCACTGTTGTCATGTGGGTGGCTGCAGCACTAACGGGGAGAGGCAGTCCCAGATGGCTGGCAGCGTTTCCTGGAGGATCCCCGATAATGTTGCTTTATGCATCCGGTAACTTATGGCCACATGGCCCAGAGATCCTGGTGATGCAAGGAACCTAGAAATGGGAAAAACAAAATTGTGAGACTTAGTACCTAACTCAGAGCAACTGTTTAGTCAGTCATTTCCACTGTTTGTGACTAAGAACGACCTACGAGAGTGCTCCGTCAGACTTATATTGCTATACACGCAAAATGTAAATATGTACTAAATGTGTTTGACTGACGCTCTACGGTGTTTTAAAATAGTTTCTACTCTAAAACCGCCCGCAAAAATCAAGGAATTGGCGCATGAAGTAGAAATTGATCTCGAATATGAGTTTTACTGTGCTGATTTACTCATTAAAAATTTCAGTCTCAATTTAAAGTGAAAAAGAAATGAATGACGATGTCGTCAAATGGGTCAGCCTTTCTATTTAGTAAAATATGTGTTTGATGTAGGAAGGGTTACATTTATACGTTGATCCGCTTATTTATGAGTGTCTCAAAATAAAGTTACAAGGTAGTACTAATGGCCCGTCAAACATCAGAAACTGAACCTATCAAGTTGAAACTTACCTCGAATACATACCTCACTAGTCCCCTTTACATATTACAAATTCAAGCCTTTATTTAAAGTACGAAAAAATTAAAAAGAAAACTTTCCCATTTTAGGGCTTTTTTTTTTGTTCTAGGAGTTCAGACTTAAAATTTGAATGCGTGCGGTACATCCAACCAGTAAAGGGAGCATTTGAGGTAAGTTTCTACTTGAAACGTCGCGTCCCTGATTTTTGCTGGCGATTTAAGAGCCCAAACTTTATTTTGAAACGCACTGTCGAGATTGGGCCTCTCAATTAAAATATCGGAGTAGATGAGAGCGCATAAGTTCCCGGTTTGAGATATTTTAATACTAGTTGGGCGTGTGTACGGCGGTAGTACACCGTCTAGAAGCATAACCTAATCAGTCAAGCATCCGCGAGAATGAAGTGTATATCAAATATGTAGTACATACAGTGCCTCAATGTACTTCTGTTTTGGGGGCTGCCACCGTTTGTAGTGCCCGATGCCGACAGCACGCGCTCACAGGGAAAATACAAAGAAATCGCAAGAAACAAAATGTTGCCTTAGCATAGTCACGCCAGGAGCGCGTGCAGGGACACGCTCTTTCACGCTTTCAGAACAAAAAATAAAAAATAAGCGTTCGAAACAAAATGGTAAAATGTCATCACCCCAAGCAAAGTGCACATGAAGGCACCCTAGTAGTACATACCTCAGTGTGATGGCCAGCCGCTCAGCGGGCGAGATGGGAGAGCGATGTGTGGGCGAGTGTACAAGACGGTCGTGGACGAGTCCGAGCAGCTCGTCGAATGAAGCCTTCGTCATCCTGCAGAAAAGGAAATGACAGAATTGATTCACTATGATAAGCGACATGACTATCGACCGTCGCCTTACCTGAAATATTGGAAGTGGTATTATGGGTCGGACTCGCGCAGCTCCTGTACTAGATGGTAAAATTCTCCAAACACTGTGCGCTTATCAAATATGTCTCGTACGTACATCGTGCGTGTTCTCTGGCGCCGTATTCGGCGCCATAAAAGCACCGCTGCAATTTTTTTCTTTTTTTGCTGATCTAAATACATCGCGAATCGGCTCTCCATGGTTCCTCCCGTCTGAACAAGTCAGGACAGAATGCAAACGGAAACGGAAATAAACCATCAGCTTATGTTGCAGTTGTCATGGCGACGCGCAGGCGCAACGCGAAGTGCGCGTCGGAGTGCGCTGGACCGCGATGGAGTATAAATGCCATTGACCGCAACCTTTTCAGCGCAGCGCGTCGTGTCGTTGTTGACGACGAACGCCGGCGCACGTCACGTTCGTCGACGTCGGAGTATAAACAGCCCTTAAGGGTGACTTTCGGCGACCCTTCCATTGTCCAGCTCGCTTTCTAAAGAGCTCGGCGTTTACGAAGCGTGTGGACCGGACTCTATGTCACTTTCCTCGACCGAAAGCGGGGTCGAGATGGGTGGGACATGAGAGCTGGGCCGGCTTGCTCAGAAAAAGCGTTTCAGCTGAGACTGAGCGAAAAAAAGCACTGCCGAAGCCAGCGCACCAGCTGAGCTGGACTCAAACAGCGTCTCAAGACGCTCGCGCGCCTTAACCTTTGAAGTGCTTTCCTTTACCCAGACCATAGTGTCCTATATATTGACAAAGCCTGGCAGATCGCCACAACAAGCGACCGCCGAGATGGAAAAGGTGGAGCGGTAGACAACGGATGAGAGGAGAGACACGTGTCTGGCGCCCCGCTGCGGCGAGACGCGAGGACCTGAAAGTGTGTTTTGGGTCTTCGCCGCTGCAAAACCAATGCGCTGACGTCCAGATTCCCCGAGAAATGGCTCTTTGATGCTCTGTAGTCTGTGCTATACCAGATCCTCGAGCTCCAAATCTGCGACAGGGCACTGTATGGCTTCGGCGTCGAACTGCCAGGCTTTGTGAGTATAGAGGAGGCTATGCCCAGACACAGCTGAGACGCTGTTCTAGCAACCTGGCGCTGATTACAGCGTTCTTCTGGGAGCGGTCATGTTTATACACGTTACTCGAAAAAGTAATCGATTACAAGTA